GTTGATTCAACCAAAGTCCGGGAAGGATTTTACAGTGTATAGTGATGCTTCACATTCAGGACTTGGTTGTGTTTTAATATAGGAAAGTAAGGTGGTGGCTTATGCATCCCGTCAGCTGCGGCCGCATGAGAGTAACTATCCTACTCACGATTTAGAGTTGGTAGCAGTAATTTTTGCCTTGAAGATTTGGAGACACTATCTTTATGGAGAGAAGTGTTACATTTTCACAGATCATAAGAGCTTAAAGTATCTTCTGACCCAGAAGGAACTTAATTTGAGACAGCGTCGCTGGTTAGAGCTTCTAAAGGATTATGATTGCGTGATTGATTACCACCCTGGTAAAGCTAACATTGTAGCAGATGCTTTGAGTCAAAAGACGGTATCGGAGTTGAGGTCTTTAATGGCCAAGATGAATTTATATGACGATGGCACTTTGTTAGCAGAATTGCAAGTTAAGCCGACCTTGGTTGATGAGATCAAAGCTAAGCAGCCCCTTGATAGCTCCTTGCTTTCCATCTTTGAGCAAGTAGAGAAGGGGACAACCTCAGATTACGCAATTGATCAGGATGAAGTTTTATGCTTTAAAGGTAGATATTGTGTGCCTGATGATGCTGAGTTGAGGCAGACTATCCTTACTGAGGCTCATAGTAGTCCATATGCTATGCACCCCAGAGGAGATAAGATGTACCAGAATTTGAGAGAGAGGTATTATTGGATTGGTATGAAGAAAGACATATCTGACTTTGTGGCTAGGTGTTTGACTTGTCAGCAAGTTAAGGCAGAACATCAACATCCATCAGGTTTGTTACAGCCTATCAAGATTCCTGAATGGAAATGGGAGCGTATTACTATGGATTTGTTACTGGCTTGCCTATTCCTTTGAAAAAAATTCAGTTTGGGTGATTGTTGACAAACTTACAAAGTCAGCTCACTTCATTCCTGTGCGAGTAAATTATACTTTGGATAAGCTGGCAAGATTGTATATTTCAGAGATTGTCAGATTGCATGGTGTTCCATTGTCTATTATTTCTGATCGAGATCAGAGATTTACTTCGAGATTTTGGAAGGCGTTACATACGGCTTTGGGAACAAGATTGGATTATAGTACATCCTTTCATCCACAAACTGATGGTCAATCTGAGAGAGTAATTCAGATTCTGGAGGATATGTTGCGGGGTTGCGTAATCGATTTTCATGGTAGTTGGGAGAACTTTTTGCCGTTGGCTGAATTTGCTTACAATAACAGTTATCATACCAGCATTCGTATGGCACCCTATGAAGCGCTCTATGGGCGTAAATGTCGCACTCCGATCTGTTGGACTGAGTTGCGTGATAGGAAAACGTTGGGACCTGAGTTAGTGCGAGAGACGGAGGACACAGTTAAATTAATCCCTGACCGTCTGAAAGAGGCATTTGATAGGCAGAAATCTTATGCAGATTAAAGAAGGAAGGATATACAGTTTGAAGTGGGAGATCGGGTCTTTTTGAAAGTTTCACCCTGGAAGAAAGTATTGAGATTCGGGCGTAAGGGTAAATTGAGTCCAAGATTTATTGGACCATTTCGTATCTTGAAGAGGGTAGGACATGTTGCATATCAGCTTGAGTTGCCTTCTGAGCTAAGTCGTATTCATGATGTCTTTCATGTATCAATCCTGAGGAGATACCATCCAGATCCAGGTCACATTATTCAGGTTGAAGAAGTAGAGCTGAGACCTGATTTGTCATATGAAGAGGAGCCCATTCAGATCTTAGAGAGAGATGAACGAGTTCTTCGGAATAGACGAATTCCAATGGTCAAAGTTCAGTGGAGTAATCGAGGCCCCTCAGAAGCTACTTGGGAGACATTGGAGTCAATGGAGGCTCAGTTTCCTCAACTATTTTCATAAGGTAAATTTCGAGGACGAAATTTCTTGTAGAGGGGGAGAATTGTAACAACCCGAATATTTATAAAATAATATTAATTGAAATTGGAGGTAAATTGTGAAAATGGGTGAAATTAAGTGACTAAATTAAAATTTATGAAAACTTGTATGCCATTTTCGAAGTAAAGGAAATTCAGGGACCAAGCCTTGAATTTCCCCTAAAACTGTCGGTAGGCTTGATGATTTAAGCGTGATTTCTGATTTACAATCATAAATCACAAAAGTTATTCCTTCAATTTTCTTCCTCTCACACCTCCACTTTCAAGTCCGATCCAAACGCCGTCCAAATTCCTATCGTTGTTTTGAAACCACCGTTGTGTTCATCATCGAGCGAGGAACAAACCCTTCAAATTAATTGAAGCGAAACGCGGCCAAACGTCGGGAATTTCCAGTCAAAGTAGCGACGGTTTTGTTAGCTCTATCGTCGAGAAAATCTTAAATTCACCGCTGATCGTTGCTCCGTTTACGACACCTCTCGCACCACAGTGTTCCTTGTGCCGTTCCGAGTTCACCGGTGTCAACCTTGTCCACCGTAGACGGCGGCGCGTGAGGAGGTGGTGCAGTCAAAGATTCGGCCGATTTGAAATCGAGCTCTCCGCCGTTCAAAAATTTGAACCGATCGTTGTAAGTATCTCGAAATCGCTCAAACTAATTTTTAGAAATTTTTCCGGGATTTTTAGGGCCCCGGAGGACGCCTCACGCGCCACACGCGCCGCCGCAGGGCGAGTGGCTGTTGGAAACCGATTTAACCGGTTTTCAACCGGTTCTGACCGGTTTCAACCGGTTTGAACCGGTTTGACCGGTCTGAACCGGTTTGACCGATCTGACCCGACCCGACCGTTGACCCGACCCGACCGTTGACCGTTGACTTTCTTTGACCAAAACTTAAAATGGATTTGACCGAGCATTAAACGACCGTTAATCTTTTCCGAGTATACCTATCCTGATAGTTTTCGACGTGCCAAATCCGTTTCTGCTGTCCGTTTCGTCAAATTCGAACCAGAAGGACTCCAAATCGATGCTCAAAGTAGTTGACTTTGACTTTGACCAAGAATCTGAATTTTCAAAAAGTCATACTTTATGTTTTTCGACGTCTTGATTCCGATTCCGCAATTCGTTTGGCCAAATTCAGACTCAAAATACCCCAAATTGATAGTCAAACCCGAAAAAATGCTTATATACTTAAGAAGTCTAGTTTTGAACAATTAAATAGGATTTGGGACTGATAGATTATTATTGTTTGAAGGTACAAGAGACTCTCCGGATCGTTCGACAACTCGACCCAGCTCTTCTAGATCAGTTAAACCACGTGTGCCATTATTCACGCATTCGAAAACGGTAGCAGAGCGTGGTGAAACCAACAATCAGTAGATTTGCTATTTGAACCTATTGTTGAGGTGTCTTCCCTAGTTATTACTGAACTGTTTTATTGGTTTTAATATGAGGTACACTGAGTTCATTTGGTTATTTTTTTATGGATGCACCAATTTAATGTGACAATTTATGGAATATGGCTGCTATCTAATTTTTGTTTTGAAATGGTATATGATTACCATGTTTTTGGATTTATGGAATTTATGTCACGGTGCAATTGAATTTTGGAATTGAATTACGATGGAATAGCTCTGATCAAGCTAAATGGACCTAATGTAACTCTTGAGGGCCCCAAAATATTTCATTAGGTCGGCTTTCCTTTGCTGTGTGCTTTGGGTAAGCTATATGGACTTATTGACTTGGGCTTAAGGATACAAGCTTCAGAGCCTATCCTTAAGTTGGCTTTCTTTTTGCTATGTGCATAAAGTAAGCTATATGGAAATAATTTTGAGAACTACTGATGGTGTACCAGAAAAGGGTTTAAACTATGATTTTCAAAAGTTAAACTCTTTTACGAATTTGTGAGATTACTGGACTATGATTTGTACATATTGACATTTTATGGAAATGTTGGGACACACTGAGCCTAGCTCACTTTTTGAAAATGTTTTCCCCCTTTCAGATACTCTTGGTTAGATACCTCGGTTCGAGCACTTGGAGGATCAACATATCTCTTGAAGTGAATCAGATTGTAATGTTTTATCTTGCAAGTTGACTTTATTTTGGTGACATGGACCTTATTTTAAATATCGGATTTTATAATGATGACTCTTTTGCTAGTACTTCTCGGTTTATTGTGATTTTGAATTTGAAGACATGTTTTAAATTAAATTATTATTTATTGGTACTATATTTACGAGTTGGATTTTGATAGTATAATTTGTTTATAATTTCATGTTATTTATAATGTGATTTTATATTGATAGAATAACGATTTCGGAAAATGTCTTTAATAATCATAATGTGATCCACTAGACTTAGTCGAAACGCATAGGCCGGGTCTAGGGGTTACAGTTCGCATGAGAGGTTCTTGGCCCAATCCGTCATGGTTGTTTGTAAGGGGGATTTATTATTCGATGGTCTTCTTAGCTTGAGGCTTTTCTTTTTGATTTCCTCTAAAGTTTTACGGCTAACTCCTCTAGAATTTATAAGCTTGGTGTTGCGTGCTTTTATAGCTTCAAATCCTTGTTCTACAGTAACGACAGCCTCATGGTTCTGCTTTTTTCGATTCACATTGTGCTTAATAACCTCTGCATCATTGCCATTCACTTGGGGAATCACATCCACTTTCAATGGTGTTTTACCGACTATTACAGTCTTCTTGGATTTCCTCTCTGAATTCGATTCCATTTAGGCAGTATTCTTGTTTATTTTAGACTATTACCGATGTTCGTCCCACTGATTAACCGTTTGGATTTCATTAAGGGTAGCCCCGTTGTTTGTATCTTTTTATATCTCCTCACTAAAATTTTTTGGTTCTTCAACTTCTACAGCTACGTATCGAGATCCCTTTGATTGTCCTCTTGAATTATCATACTCCATACCTGACGTTTTCAAGGTCGTTCTTCTTCAATGTTTGGTTTCTACCATCCATGGGCCATAGAGATCCTATTCTTATGCGGTTAGGGTAATTGCTTGTTCACTTTGTTCCATTTGCACCACATGCGATGCGAAACATATTTGATTAAGGCCCTCGTATTCTAGTTTTTGGACAAAGTTTTCAATGCCGATGCATGATTTCAAAGGTTTGTTCAAATTTACCAACGCCGTTAATCTTGCGAACTTTCCTTTCTCCCCTGCTTGAGTGTTATAGTCGACCTTCACTACTTGCCCCACAGCTCATGCAATTCGTCAGAATAGTGCTTTGCAATAGTATCGATATGGTAATCCTGTGAGAAAAATCCATACGATAGCATGCGATGGGTGTTTTTCTGTCATAGAGAATGACCTACTCCATGGTTAGACTGTCAGGTAGTTCTCGTATATGGTTCGTGGCTCTTCGATTAGCACGTCCGCATAGTATTTCATCTTTAAATTCCACTAAGTAGTAATTATTTTCAAGATCGATCAGGTTCAGTTCATTGCAGGGACGTCACAAAGCGTATATTCTATCAAGAAGTATTTTGTACCCAATTGTTCGGCCTAGAAGGCTAACGATTACTGTGTTCTCATATTTCTATCTATTCGATCAAGGACTCTACCCAAAAACTTAAACATGGGGAACGCCTCAGTTTCATCAACGATGCAGTCTTCCTCCAAAACCACCACCTCTTCTTAGTCGAAACCATGGCCAAAGCTTTCTCTTGAATCTGATAGCTGGTTCTTGGCTGCCATAGATGCATAAGACGGTTTTCTATTAAACTTAGAAAAATCTTGATCTCCTGTTTTAGCTTTTTGGTTGTCTTTTTCTCTAATATCATCTGCCGTGATTGGTATGTCTGTTTAGATAGGATTATCATAAACTATAATCGCCTCTATTCTTGCCTTCTTTGACACATGTTGGTCTTCAATCAAGATTGGAGATCCTGCTCTCTCTAGTATTGGTGGAAGCCCTATGCATGGAGATTGCTTAGGTGGTTGACCACCTGGGCTGCGTATGAATCAATTTTGTTGATCATACCTTCTTTAGGGTTTTCTCTCGTAGCCTCGAATGTTAATGGGTTTTTAGTCAAGGAAAATAGAGGTTTAGGGTTGGAGTTTCTATATATATATATATATATTATTCTTACCTAAACTTTTAAAAACATATTTTGTTATTATTTTAACATTTCAAAGTATGTATTTTATCTTAGTTTATTAAATATATTATATTATTATTTTAAATTATTAAATATATTTTATTCTTATCTGAACTTTAAAATGTTTTTATATAAAATATATTTTTAAATTAAAACAAAAATATTTTTTTAAATTAAGTTAATAAAAAATATTTAATAAGTTAATGTAAAAATATTTTTTAAGTTAATATAAAAAATATTATGAATTTAAGTTAAATATTTATATACTAAGATATAAAATATATACATCATGTTGTCTATTTTAGGGCGATTTTCTAAAAAAAAACACCTTTTCGTTATATATTTACATGTCAGACACCATTTCAGATATATTTCCCGATCTAACACCCTTTGCAGAAAGGCGTGGCCAATGCACCGCGCCTTACGCTAATGTGGCGCCACGTAGGGTAAGGCGCAACCCATGCACCACGCATTACGCTGATGTGGCGCCACGCAGGGTAAGGCGCGATGCATGGGTCGCACCTTATGCCACGTAGGGTAAGGTGCGGTGCATGGGCCGCGCCTTTCTGCCAACTGACACGCGTCAAAATGGCGCGGTTCATGGTCGCGCCTTCGGTTTTAATTCGGCCCCAACCGACCGTTCACCCCCTATCCCACCCTATAAATACCCCCTTCTCAATTATTTTCACCACACCAAATCCTCTCAAATTCTCTCAATGCTCGTTCAAGTTTATTTATAAGGTATATTTTATTCTATTTAATATTTTGTTAGTATTTTATTTAATTATATAATTATTTAAATTTTTTAGTATTTTATTTAATTAATTTATTTTTTTTCAGTTATAAAATGGAAGGTGATCTGCTTATTTTGGATGGAAATCATATATCGAGACATTTTGCTGATACAATAATATTTTTAAATTTTAATTTAATTTAAATTATTAGTAATAATTTATTTATTTAATATTTTTTATTTTATAAATTAATTTTTGTAATTATTAATATTTTAGGAGAGCGATCGTATATTAGATCCTTTTATCCGCAACCTTATGTTAGCGATACTAACCCGTGTCTGGTCGTATTTTGTCGAGGCTGGATTCGGTTACATAGCTAGATATGAAGGCCATTGTAGGATAGAACCAAACCTGATTTCTGCATTAGTCGAGCGGTGGAGACCGGAGACACGCACATTCTATCTTCTGTGTGGAGAGTGCACGATTACGCTGGAGGATGTTTTTATGCACTTGGGGTTTTCGGTGGATGAAGATGTGCTTTCAGGGATGGCGCACAATAAATGGAATTCTTTGTGCCAGAAATATCTAGGAGGTGTCCAGCAAAATTTTAACGGTGGTCGGATTCCGTTAAATTGGTTGGATGCAAATTTCCAGAATTTGAGTGAGGATGCCTCAGAGGATCAAGTTAAAAAGTATGCACAGGCATGCATACTACAGCTGATAGGAGGGTTGCTGATGCTGGACAAATCGTGCAACCAAGTTCACTGTATGTGGTTGCGCCATCTTGGCGATTTTCATCTGGTTTGATCATTGAGTTGGGGCTCGGTAGTTTTGGCATTCCTATATAAGGAGATGTGTCGAGCTACTAACTACATGAAACATGCTATCGACAGATGTCTCCTTCTACTGCAGTCTTGGGCATGGTATCGCTTGCCTTTTTTATGTCATGTTGTGAAGAACCCGTTCGTATATTAATCATTTTATCTAGTGTATAATAAAAATTATTTCCTTGAATGGGTGGTCTATTGACAGGAAAAATCATCGGGATCTACCTAATGAATTAGAAATAATCAGGCTACAAATTGATCAAAAGGCTGGCACAGAGGTATGTATTTTAATGTTTGAAAATCTATTTTGTATTATAGTTATATAATTAGATTATTATTTTGATAAGAATTATATATATTTGTTTTTGTTTGAATGGGCTTCTTATTGTAATGATCATATGAGGATCAACATCCCACCTGAGTTAAGGGGCCCATTAGATGTTTGGATGGCGGTGGTCCCACTGATCTGTTATGCGATTGTCGAGTGGCACCCCACTGATCACGTGCTCCGACAATTTGGTTTTGTACAACCAATTTCGGAAGCACCTCAAAATATCGACCAGTTGCATAACATAGATTGACGTAGTAAGACAAATATAGATTGGCTGGTGAAGCATTATGAATGGGTCATGATATGAGAGGATCGACATCGACGCATTCTCCCATAGAGAACCCATTTATGTTGACCATTTGACGATTGCAGATGGTTATTATGAGTGGTTCAACAGTAACAGAAAACTGTTTCTGCTTTCCAAGGATGCACGAGGACGGAGTATTCATCGACGTCGATAGAGACGTGCACCATCACAACCCTATCTTCCCTCGACTCATGGACGAAGAGCAGGTACTTCTGGTTCGTCGTCAGCTGCACCACCGGAACCTTCACAACAACCACCTTCTGTAACGTCGTATACCCCGCAGCCATATTAGACGTCGTCATCACTTTTCCCATACCAGATGATGTCGCTACCATCGTCACAGAGTTATATGACCCCCTCTTAGAGGATATTATGGTTCTATGTTTGTAGATCCAACTTGGGGTTCATATACTAGTTATTTGGCGGGTGCAGCCTCACCATCGATGGAGACACCTCCTATACAGTTTTCTCACTCATTGATGTGTGTGTTTTCTGAGTTTTCCCAGTTTTCTATGAGCGGTGGGATAGTCAGTCATACACCTCTAGGGTCCTTATTATATGGAGGTGCTACATCGTCATCATTTCTTCATTAACAAAATGTATATTCTCCTGACGACGACGACAACGACGATGATGATGATGGTGATGATGACTGTGAGGAGTCAGAACCAGTTATGCGAAGAAATCCTCCTCGAGACAGACAGCCAACGCCCTGCGGAACACATTCACACCGCAGACATCGATAGTTTTTGATATTTTATTATATTTGTATTTACTTGTTTATTGGACTTTCTTTATTGTAATTTTTTATTGTTTACCATTTAATACTTAATTTATTTTTTAAATTTTGTTTATTACTTAATTCAATCGAATGGTGATGATCATTTAGTGTTTTTAATTGTTTTTACAATAATAGTAGTAGTAAATTTATGTATAAAAAACAATTGTCTTTTAAAAGTTTATTGTATTTAAAATTATATTCAAATACCAAATTGCTATTAGTTTGATAAAATTTAATAATTGTGTTCGATAACTTTATTAAGTTTGTCACTTATTATCTCTTTTATTTTAATCACATATAACGCCAACGTCGAATCCCGTTGTACCAATAAAAATGTGTCATATCTTTGAATGATTCTTCTTTATCAATGTTGATGGATAATTTGCGCTTTGAATGATTATTCTTTATCGTTTTCTTGTATTGTTTTTTTAATTAATCAATGGTTATCAAATTTCATTAACTTTAAGTAAATGTGAATTAAATTACAAGAACTACTATTTGATAAACAACAACTACATCAGTTCCTTATCAATGGTTACTTGATGATAAAAGAAGTGGACATGTTTTTCTAGTGTGTCCTGAGTTTCTACAATGCCCACATCTTCTTTCTTGTTTAGATGTTTCTCGAATATCCATATCACAATGAATTCGTGTGGATTTTGGCCGATCATGATCCTCAATTAAGTCGAATCTGGTACAATCGGAACCCAATTCTTAACCTCATTAAGGTCTTTGTCCTTACCTATGGGGGAATTCAAATTCGTATACCTTAAACACTTCTGATAGTAGGTATACGGGATCCAAAAAATGGTTATAGTCTTGACGGGTATACGAGCAAGCTGCTATCACATGAGAGCATGGATACTTCAGAGCTTAAAAAACCCCACAGTCGCACCATCTGTCTCGTATAGTTACTCTTAACGAGTTAGCTTCAATCCCTTGAAGAGGTCGCGACATCTTTGTGACACGAAACAATTCATGCGTTCTAAAAAAGCTTG